CAGGACAAAGCAGTGGGGACAAAATGTATGTGAAATGCAGTGAAAAAGCAATGACAGCAAAAATGTCATTTTTTAAAAATTTAAAATTTCCCGCCGGTTCCGCCGCCCGAACGTTCCGATGTCACGGGGACCGGAACACAGAAGCCAGATGCCAGCATCCGCCGGAGGAGATGGACGGGGACGCTGCAGGGGGACCCATCGTGGGAGCGAAGAACAAGGTAAGTGCTACAGGGACCCCCAGAGAACGCTGCATGGTAAGCCCGAGTGTAGCTCGGGGTTACCATTCTTGGTATAGAAATTCTACCCCGAGCTACACTCGGGAAAACCGCCAAGGAGGTTAATAAAAATAACAAGACCAAAGCTCAAGAGCTAATCTCTGACTCTGGATACAAGTCTGTGTGAAGATGCAAGCTGCAACTCCTAAGGGGGTAGTGCTACCAATACATGCACTTAAAAAAAATAAATCGCTAAATATATACTGTATGTGAATATATTATTATACAGTATTTATAAAGCGCCAATAGTTCGCTCAGCGCTGTACATTACAAAGGGGGACAGAACATGTGACAGAACAATACCAATACAATGCAAAAAATGAGGGGATCGAGGGCCCTGCTCTTTCGAGTTTACAATCTAGGATATATATATATAAATATATATATATATCTATATCTATAAATGTTTAAATAAAATATATTATTTTATCTTTAAATGCTCTATTTTTAATTATAGGCTAACAAGTAGACAAATCAATCAAATCAATTATGAATTTATATTATTCAAAAAAAGTATACAATAATAAAAAAATATATATTTTAAACTTGTAATTGTACGAATCATCTATAGTATTAAAAATGCTAACAAATTGTGCGTATGTACATATATATATATATATATATATATATATGATTTCAGATCTGTGTTTCTAATTTTCTGGCCACAGAGGCCACATTATGTCTATAAATAGCATCCCTACAAGTTGCAGAAATGGTAAACTTAGTCTAATTGCTTCTGGATGATTGATCCTCTAGAGGAAGGTGACATGGCCATGGCTATAAATAGCCGAGACATTTAGACATAGGAGGTCAAAGTGACAGCAGGTGAACCTTTTCTAAGGACTTTAATTAACATGCTTCCTGAACCCTCCTGATGTCATCTGCCACCTCCGCTGGCTCTACATAGTGTGATGCACACAGCGACGCACACATAGGAGGAAGGAAAGGACAGAACATCGAATTTAAAGTTCATGTAAAGGTAAAATGTTTGGATAGAAGGCTAAAAGCTGAACTCAAAACTGCACTTGCAGTGGGGCTCTCCATGCACAGCAAGAGTGAAATGCTCATTTTTGTCTAGGATTATTATTATAATACAGGATTTATATAGCGCCAACAGTTCGCTCAGCCCTTTACAAAATGAAGGCAGACATTACAGTTACAATACAATTTGGTACAAGAGGAAACAGAGGGCCCTGCTTGTTAGAGCTTACAATCTAGGAGGAAGGGTTGAGTGATACAAAAGGTAATAGCTGTGGGGGGTAGAGCTGATGTCTAGAATGCTTTTAAATGAACTTTTGCCTGCCTCAACCACCACTCCTGCAGGCTTTCTGTTCTCTGAGCAGGGGTGGACTGATCATTTGGAAACTCGGGCACTGCGGGCACCAATCACAGCAGGTCACATGACAGTTGTATACAATGGATGGCTTCATTCATGCCATCCATTGTATACTAGTGCCTAGCTGTGAATGGTCACAGCAGGTCACATGCACATGCCATGTGATTAGCTGTGGCCAAATCACAGCTAAGCACAAAAAAAAAATAAAACCTGAATGAATCGATGTCATTCAGGTAAATGCTTGCTTATAGCAAAGTAATTCTTTGCTATAAGCAAATTCTGTAAAAAAAAAAAAAAAAAAATACTGATCACTTCCCCAAAGTAGTACAATGTTACTATGGTAACATTGTACTACTTTGGTCATAGTAAAATATGAAAAAAAAATATCTTAAAAAAAAATAAAAAAACAAATGTAATAAAAAATTAAAAATAATAACAAAATAAAAAAAAAAATATATATATATATTTTTTTCATACTGTCACCAGTCAGTGTCCCTGATCACCGCTATGCCAGTTATATGATGATGCTGTACTGCACTGGTGACAGTATGTAAAAAAAAAAATAGTGAAAATAATTTTTTTAATTTTTTTCATTTTCCGAAAAATTATGACAAAAAAAATACAACTTCAAAAAACTCGCCATGCCTCTTATGAAGTACGTCGGACTGTCTACTCTGCAAAAAGGGGTCATTTGGGGATATCTGTACTATTCTGACATTCTTGGACCTCAAGAAATTAGATTGGCTGTCAGTACTTCAGGATTGATCAATATCAGATCTATACCATAGTTTGTGAACTCTATAACCTTCCTACAAACTAAAAAATACATCCTAATTTGGGTTATTTTCACCAAAGACATGTAGCAGAATACATCTCGGCCTAAATTTATGAAGAACAATTATTTATTTGTAAACTTTTATAACAGAAACAAAAGAAAAACGTGGGGTTTTTTTTCAAAATTTTTGGTCTTTTTTTGTTAATTTAGCAAAAAATAAAAACCCCAGCGGTGATTAAATACCACCAAAAGAAAGCTCTAGTTGTGTGAAGAAAATGATAAAATTTTAGTTTGGGTACAATGTTGTATGACCGCGCAATTGTCATTCAAAGTGTGAGAGTGCTGAAACCTGAAAACTGGCCTGGGCAGGAAGGTATAAAATTGCCCGGTATTGAAATGGTTAATAGCCAAAAGTCAAAAATATTGTTTTTTTTCTCAAATTGTCGGTCTTATTTTTATAGCGAAAAAAATAAATGCACATCAACTACCCCCAAAAGAAAGCTCTACTCGTGGGAAAAAAGGCCATAAATTTAATTTGGGTGCAGCGTTGCATGACTGTGCAATTGTCAGTTAAAGTAACGCAGCACCGTAACGCAAAAAACGGCCTGGTCAGGAAGGGGGGAAATCCTCTGGAGGGCAAATGGTTAAACTATATGATTATTTTGAAAGAGAGAGAGAGAGAGAAAGAGAAATTCATGGATAGATGATGGATGGATGGATAGCTAGACAGACAAGAAAGAAAGAAAGAAAGAAAGAAAGAAAGAAAGAAGAAAGAAAGAAAGAAAGAAAGAAAGAAAGAAAGAAAGAAAGAAAGGAAAGAAAGGAAAGGATATATGGTGGTGTCAGCAGGGGATGTGCTCCAAATCAGGCTCAGAGTGAACAGGGGACCCAAAATACTCAACGGCTCCTGAGGGAGGAGAGACAGAGAGACAGAAAGAAAGAGAGACAGAAAGAAAGAGAGGCAGAAAGAAAGAAAGAGACAGAGACAGAAAGAAAGAAAGAGAAAGAGACAGAAAGAAAGAGAGAGAGAGAGGAAGAAAGAGAGAGACAGAAAGAAAGAGAGAGAGAGAGAGGAAGAAAAAGAGAGAGACAGAAAGAAAGAGAGAGAGAGAGAGAGAAGAAAGAAAGAAAGGAAAGAAAGGAAAAGAAAGGGAAAGAAATGAAAAGAAAGAAAAGAAAAGAAAGAAAGAAAGAAAGAAAGAAAGAAAGAAAGAAAGAGAGAAGAGAAAGAGAGAGAAAGAGAAAGAAAGAGAAAAGAGAGAGAGAGAGAGAGAGAGAGAGGGGGGTGGAGAGAGAGAGAGAAAGAAATTCGTGGATAGATGATGGATGAATGGATAGCTAGACAGACTAAATTGAAAGAGAGAGAGAGAGAAAATTCATGGATAGATGATGGATGGATGGATGGATGGATGGGGTAGCTAGACAGACAAGAAAGAAAGAAAGAAAGAAAGAAAGAAAGAAAGAAAGAAAGAAAAAGAAAGAGAAAAGAGGAAAAAAAGAAAGGAAGAACTAAAAAAAGAAAATGATGGATAGACTAAATTATGAGAGAGATAGTGAGAGAGAAAGAAAGAAAAAGAGAGAGAGGGGAGAAAAGGAAGACGATATGAATAGATAGATATGTATATATTTCTGTGGCTGTATATATTCGGCCTTTGGGCTCCATGCATAATGTAATGTATATGTATAATTTATGACCTGGGACAGCGCTGTCCACTGCAGAGAAGGAGATCAGAGCAGGGAAAGCAGACAATGTCATTACAACCTGTGTTTTACATTATCATATATATTGCATTTCTTAAGTGTCAGTAAATTATGTATCCAGCCCCTAAGACAAATACTGACGATTAGGAGCTCATGGCATTACGCGGTGACTGGGGTTGAAATGCGGCACGTATAGACAACATTACAGAAGACGATAAAGTGTTTAGCATGGATCCTCGGTGACGTCCAGGGGTCAGTGTGCACGGCACAGTGAGCTTTGGGAAATATAAAACTTGTCCCACTGATACTTTCACGCAGCGACATGAGCCACCAGCTTGCAGTACAAACTAGGAGCAATAAGATTGAATTTTCACCTTTTTTCCTACAAATTCAAAGAAAATCAATTTTTGTTTCTTTAAATCCTAGTCAGGGAGACTGATTATGACAGAGGCACTGTGCAACAAAGAAAATAATAAAGAGCAATACGTTTTCTCCACCTGCTGATTGAGAATTCTCTCAACATGAGGGTTACTTCCATACAGATGGCCATGGCTCCACCGACTGCCCACCTCAATTCTATTATTGCACTGTACACATGTGGAGACAGTAATGCTTCGCTTTGGGGCAGCAGCAATTTAAACTTAGCTTGCAGAGTTTGACAGGTGGCACCACCTGTCAAAGTCACCAACTAAGGTCAATAGGAGTGTGCTGCAATCACAAGCCAAATTCTTGGGATTTGAATCCCTCCCCCCCCCAAAAAAAAACATACATCCTCAATCGAATTGTCCAGCGCTGCAAATCCACATCGATCATGATACCTGGTGACCCATTGAAAGAAAAAAATTCCACTGACTGCCAACACACATCTAGTCCCATGGCTTCCAAATGACAACTCTGGTCCTCCTGTTAAAATGTAAGTTTCCAAAGTGATGTAATTTACCATACAGTATATGGACATGATCATATTTGGTCAATGTTGTTTTAGGCATTAATCCCCATTATGTCAGTGGCAGAATTAGGGGCGGACTGACAACTCATGGGGCCCCCCGGGCAATAGGGGATCATGGGGCCCCTGTGTCCTTGCCCAAACTCAAAAAAGCCTATGAAAAAGGTACCAGGGGCATCTCATGGGGCCCCCTACTGACCCCCGGGCCCTCGGGCAGTGCCTGAGGTTCCAAATGGTCAGTCCGCCCCTGGGCAGAATATGATCATGTATAGACTGTATTCTATGTACCCTTTCCTCATTCACATGGGGAAGGGGCAGTATCTGGGTGCATTGTTAAAGGGGTCTTCAAGATTCCTTTAAGCTCCATGCCCCCAGATCTCCACAACTACCAAGCCTGGCTTGTTGGGAAGAGGCCCTTGTCCTCCCTAACATGGGGACAAGGTGCTTTGCTGGGGGGGGACTTCCCCTTACAAGGTAACCCCCCCCCATGTTGAGGGCATGTGGCCTGGTGTGGTTCAGGGGGATGGGCCACAAGCTAGTGCCCTTCCCCTCTCTTTTCTTCGCCAGTTCAAATATAGATTTTTGTGGTGGACCTCAACCATTTTTCCCCCTAATTTCTGTGTAGGATTCCCCCCTAGAATCCATACCAGACTTAGAAAGCTATCATATTTACTAGCAGGAGAAAATCCTGCTACTACTGTATATATGATGTTTGGCACATGAGGGCATGTGGACTGGTATGGTTCAGAGGGATGGGCTGCAAGCTCATTCTCCCTACTTTCCTCACCAGGCCACTCTGCATGCTCAAATGGGGATTTTTGTGGACCTCAACCTTGTTTTCGCTGATTTTTGTTTGGAAATCCATACCAGAAGCAGAAGTAAACTGTCATATATGGTAGCAGCAGATAAACTATCTACTTTATATGATGTTCAAACAGGCTGAAAGTCTGGCATTGGACGAACTCCTGTAAAGCAAAGCTTGGTCTATTCAGCATTTCTTGGGGTTTTAGGTTTAAAGTGCAGCTAAAACGCAGAGGTATAAATGTGTTCTAAACATTCTTTTCATGGATATCTTTCAATAATGTTTCAATGATGCATACTTACCAGCCTTGTGATTTTGGATCTCAGGACACTTAACCCCACCCGTGGTCCACATTGTGTCCTTCCACTTTCCAGGTAGGCATGACCAAATCACTTCCAGTTTATGGGTTGTTCTCAACCAGACCTTGCCTATGCAGAGAGCACCCAGTAGTGGCCTTAATACCCACAACTACTGGACATGTGCAGTAACTAAAGTAAGATTGATGTTGTGATCCCAGGACATGGCCCTGGACACAGCATTGGCAGCACAGAGGTCAAAGATGTGGGATTGTCCAGCAAATCTGAAACAGTTGACATCTATAAAAATGTTATTACATATGGAGCAAAAGCCATTGTGCCAACAGACTTGTCACATACCTATATGAGGAGCCCAAGAAGACAAGGCTTGCCTCTTTCACAGTTACTATCCGGACAGCCCAGAAATTAAGAAAGGGCCTGCAAGGGTGATGGAAGGGAACAAGTGCATGGATGCCTGGAACCCAGGAACACCGACACATGTTGCACATGGGTACAGGTGGAAATGCTTCTAGGATAAACCAGGTTCAGATATGGCAGAGTCAGGTCACAAGACAGGGTTGGTAGCAGGTAAACAGTGAAGCACCAAATAGTTGGCAGCAGGGGTGTATTTACCACAAGGCAAACAAGGCATTTGCCTAAGGCAGCATTTTTTCAGGGGGGGAGCACTGCCCCTTGGAAGAAGGGATGGAAGAAGGGACACGCATGTCATGGGGACCTGGTGGGTTCCGAGAGAGGCTGAGGGTTTCATGATGGTGTATGCACAACCCAACTCTCAATTGGGGATGTCCAGAGCTTTGAAGGTTAGTGTCTCTCTCTCTTGCCATGGGGGATGGTGGCTGGTGTATGGGGGGGCAGTGGCAATGGAAGGCTCTCTCGGGTGGGGAGCTGGGGTGTTGTTGGTCAATGTTAGTCTCTCTCTGCGGGGGGGGGGGGGGGGGGGGGGCATTTTTGTGTTGCCTAGGGCAGCACAAAAACTAAATACACCACTGGTTGGCAGAATTAAAGTTTGGAGCAAGCAGAGGCTGGCAATGTGCAGACAATGAAATATCAAGTCAACAAGCAGATTTTTGTACAGGTCAAGGTCTGTAATGGAAGTGATTAGCAATTATAATCAGACAAGGGAAATCCAAGAGCAGATCAGGTATAGCAGGGTCAGCAACAAAGGTTAAGGCATATGTGACCAGCATACCATGGATCTCAAAGATGATGTCCAAATGTTTGTTAAGGTGATCAGATCACAGTGGTAAGGTGCAACATGTCGGGGACTTGTAAGACCCCTTCTTCAGGCACACGATGCACCTTGCCGCTGTGATGTGCTCATGTTAATAAACATTTAGACATTATCTTGAAGATCCATGGTGTGCTGCCAATACATGCTTTGACTTATGATGTTACTAGCCTCCAGCTGGTAATTGCTACAACACCCTTGCCTTCTTCTGGAACATGCATGATGGGAATATGTTGTCAATGAACGTCAGGACAAGTTCAGAATCAGGAATAACGGGAATAAAGAATGAAAGATGAATCCAGCAATAAGCCTATGCAGACTCGGGTTTAAATAGCCTAATTGGCGCCAATGTCTATGGTGGACATGCAGGCACATTTTGCACATGCTGTGATGATAGCCAGCATGATGTTCCAGACAAGATCCAAGCATTTTGTGGCTTTTCTGTAGAGAAGACCCCAGGATCATTCTTGAGGTCATAAATGACGCCCATCACTGAAAGAAAATACCAATAAGAACCTCCAACAATTAATTGTTCATTTTCAAGTGGAGAAAAAAAACCCTTTATTACTTTTTTCTTCATGCCCCAGTTGTATTCTCTGTGATTGCATTCCAATGAAAATTGATTTTCTTCGAACTTATAGGAAAAAGGTGAAAATTGAATCTTACAGCTTTCCATCAGCGCTACAAAGTTGCCAACTCAAGTCATTGTAACGTGCTTTATATTTCACACAACAGATTGTGAGCCAGGTTTTTGCCCCCGGGGACTATAAAAATATGTACTAAGTACAGAGGTGAGAATGGTCTAAAAGACTTGCCGACTGCTGGGATTAGGAAATGCTCCAGAACAAAGTGCATAGTAGATGTGGTCTTATGATGGGAAGTTGATAGGCTAAAGCAGAAGGCAAAAACTTTCGATCATTCTGGATAGAGTAAGGCAGGGTTATAACCTGTTCTTATTTGCCATCTGTGTCCAACTGGGGAGATTTCCCTTCACTTCCTCTAACTTAGCCAAAGGTACCGTATTTTTCGCTCCATAAGGCACCTGACCATTTAGGTTTTAGAGGAGAAAAACAAGAAAAAAAAATATTCTGAACCAATGGACTGCAGACACAGTACAGGGGATGACCAGAGACTGCGGACACAGTACAGGGGATGACCAGAGACTGCGGATACAGTATAGGGGATGACCAGAGACTGCGGACACAGTACAGGGGATGACCAGAGACTGCGGACACAGTACAGGGGATGACCAGAGACTGCGGACATAGTATAGGGGATGACCAGAGACTGCGGACACAGTACAGGGGATGACCAGAGACTGCGGACACAGTACAGGGGATGATCAGAGACTGCGGACACAGTACAGGGGATGACCAGAGACTGCGGACACAGTACAGGGGATGACCAGAGACTGCGGACACAGTACAGGGGATGACCAGAGACTGCGGACACAGTACAGGAGATGACCAGAGACTGCGGACATAGTACAGGATATGACCAGAGACTGCTGACATAGTACAGGAGATGACCAGAGACTGCGACACAGTACAGGAGATGACCAGAGACTGCAAACATAGTACAGGAGATGACCAGAGACTGCGGACACAGTACAGGAGATGACCAGAGACTGCTGACACAGTACAGGGATGACCAGAGACTGCTGACACAGTACAGGAGATGACCAGAGACTACGGACACAGTACAGGGATGACCAGAGACTGCGGACACAGTACAGGGGATGACCAGAGACTGCGGACATAGTACAGGAGGTGACCAGAGACTGCGGACACAGTACAGGAGGTGACCAAAGACTGCGGACACAGTATAGGAGGTGACCAGAGACTGCGGACACAGTACAGGAGATGACCAGAGACTGCGGACATAGTACAGGAGATGACCAGAGACTGCGGAGATAGTACAGATGACCAGAGACTGCGGACACAGTACAAGGAATGACCAGAGACTGCGGACATATTACAGGGAATGACCAGAGACTGCGGACATAGTACAGGGAATGACCAGAGACTGCGGACATAGTACAGAAGACCAGAGACTGCAGACAGTGCAGGGGATGACCAGAGACTGCAGACAGTAAAGGAGATTACCAGAGACTGTGGAGCTTTGGGGAGGGAGGGGGAGCAGATACCTGAATTTGACAGGTACCCGCTCCCACTTCCGTGGAGTTGTCCTTCCTGCGAAGTGTCCCAGAAGGCTGCAGGGGAAGGAGGAAGGTAGAACTTCCAACTCAGATTGCTGCGGCGCATCCGACTGGAATTTGGAGCAGGTATTTGTCAAAACCAGGTACCCCCCCAAAAAAAAAGTGCCAAATGTGGCAGTGGAGCTGGGGGGGGGGGGGAGCAGGTAAACAAACAGAACTTCCCCTTTGCGATGAAGTTCCGCTTTAACTTTGTCCCCAGGAATAGTTCTCAATTACTAGTACCTCTCGCAGTAACAGCAGTCCAGTCCATGAAGGTCTTTTACTTTCAATAATTTTTTATCGAGATTTTTAAAGGATACAAAGCATAGTACATACAAATATGTGGATGAGAGAGAGAGAGAGAGGGGGGGGGGGAGTTCCAGAATAATATGCATCAAACTTCAAAATGAAAGGGCTGCAACTGAAGAACTTAATAAATGATCCACCATTGATGTCTTTCAAAGGTTTACTGCACAACAAGGGACAACAGGAGTGGGTAAAATACAAAAATGGTTG